GAAAAAGACATTCTGAATGGCCCTGTGGATTTTGTAACAACTGGAATGTGCATATCTAGTTCATCATGCTTTAAATGTCATTGTCTAATGAAGGCATCCTCAAGGTACATAGTTTATGTTCCTTTTCTCGGAGAATTTGGGAAAATGAGGCATGCCAGACCTCAGCCCACTGCTTTGGTTTGCCTTCCTGCATCAAGTTAACTTAACTATGGATCTCTACTTTAAAGGCTAGGGTAATGGCTCTTGAGGTGGGCTTTATAGTTTACCTCTTAACACCAGAAATCTACTCTTGATCCTGCTTTTTAACACCAGAAATCTACTCTTGATCCTGCTTATCTACATAATGCAAAACAAAATTCTTCAATCATGTACACTTTACCTTAGTTTTGGAAACTCAGTTCTCAAAACAGTATGTTTTTTTTTTTTTTCCTGCCTACCTGGCTTATAATCCGAGTAAGCTGTTTTCTTGGTGACTATTAAATTTCCTTTGCAATATAAAAGAAAAAGAGAAAGGATTCCATGTTTGCAATTTGTACCATATATCTCCAGGTGCAGAAAATACTTAGCATCACAAAAAATAACTTTTTGGCTGACCTTTCTAATAATTTGTCACAAAGATGTAATTTCAGTAGAAACTTTGTATTTTTAAAAAATAGAATAATAGTTCTCTTTATGATTCAAATAAGTGTTTTGTCACAACTTGAAAAAAAAAAGCAATTTTCAGAACACTGGAATTTTAATTTCTCCTACAATTATACATCTTCTTAGATCTCTTCATAGACCAGTCTTGAGATGCTATCCCTTGGGAGCCCTTTGAGCCTCGCCAGCTTGGCTCCCTTCAAGTTCTAGGCATGCACACTACAGAGATAACTGTGTTGGTACAGGCATAGTTGCAGTGTTGGTATAGCCCCGCCTTTCTGTGTTACATCCCACCTGTTTCACACCCACAGTCCACCTATGCTGAATACCCCTTTGTACTTTTACATCTTTCTTACTTGGTCCCTGTGTTGGTTGGTTCCTTGGAGTTTACTTTCTAGGGTAGTCTGAAGACTTAATAGGCCCAGATCATTTCCCTGGCTGCCACCAGCCCCTCCTTCCCTGTCCCCCTGTCCTCCTCCTTCCCTTTTCCTGTCTTTGGCCTTCCCATCTCCTCTCTTTCACCTTCTCTTCCTCTCCTCCCTCTCTCTCTCACCACCTCTCCCACCTTGTTGTGTAATTACATTGAAAGGGCCCCAACTGCTCATGCATGAGTAGTTTTTTTTTTTTTTTTTGATGTTTTTAATTAGCTTTCTTGAACAGGGGGGAAGTGTCTGCAAGTGATTTCTGTTTAATGTGGGCACAATAACAATTTATGCTAATCTTTTATCCTCTTAGAAGACCAGAGAGCCTTGTCTTTGGAAAACATGAGAAGATAAATGCGCATTGTTTGGCTAAATGACAAAGGGATGTATTTGCACCCATGGGATACGGAGTGGGAAGCTCCCCCAGAGACCCCATCAGATCCCCTGCCCCCCCCCCCCCCCCCCCCCCCCGCCTCTCAGCCAGCATGAGAAGGACTCAGACTGGCTAGGGGACATGCTTTATTTTCTGCCCTGTACTTCCTTTGCAGCTAGTTCAGTGCATTCTCATCCGAAGTGGAAATGGCAGTTAGCTTCTATACTGTACTTCTATACTGTGCCTTTGCAATTGACTCATGCCGGGGTTCTTCATAAATATCAAGGGGTTCAACCATCTGGTACCCTGTCATCATTCTTATAATTCCTCTTTTGTTTGGGGAGGTAGTGAGTGAGAAGGTTTATCGAGTTGTTTTTTTCTGTCTTCATAAGCAATGCCATTAAGTAGAAGTGGTTTAAATTATTATTATTATTATTGTAAGGTAGACATACTGTAAACTTGATCATTTGAACCATTTTAAGTGTACAGTTTGGTGGCATTAGGAACATAGTTGTACAGTCATCTCTGCCCTCTGCCCCAGGACCTTTTCATCTTTCCAAATGGAAACCCTGTCCCCAGTTGACAGTCACTGTCCCTCCTCCTCCCTCTAGCCCCTGGCAACCACTGTTCCACTTTCTGTCTCTGTGAATTTGACTGCTCTGGGGACCTCATGTAAGTGGAATCCTAATAGTATTTGTCTTTGTGTGTGTATGGCTGGTTCCTTTCAAGGTTCATCTGTATAGAAGCGTGTGACAGAGTTCCCTTTGTTTTAAAGGATGAATAATATTCTACTGTGTTTATGAGCCACATCTTGTGCCTCCAGTTTTCCCATCCATGGACATGGCACATGGACTGTTTCTACCTTTTGGTGACAGTGAACAGTGCTGAGATGAATGTGGACAGACGAGTCAGGGCTGAGGTCTCTGTGCTGGCTTCTTTAGGACGTGTACCTGGAACTAGAACTCAGTCTGACTTTAGTTCTAAGAGGAGGGCATTACTACCTTGACTTTGTGATTTGGCTCTGGAACACTTGTTCGGTTTTCATATCCATCCGGGGCCTTCTCTGTGCTCTTTTCTTTGTATCTTATTGGGTAGCTCCTATGGGTCAGCCTGGGCTGCTTAGATCAAGAAACCCTTTCTGGATCTGCGTAAGGTAGGGCCCAGTTAGTCAATCCCTTCATGATTAGGGACAAGGGCAGGGAAAACCCTACGCAAGGATGACACAGGTCTTACCTTGTTTCAGCTTGCTGCAGCTCTGACCACTGCATGGGTGGGTCTGGAGAGCACTTGCTTCCCTCCCCAGCCTGTCTCTCCACAAAGAGCTGATGGGCGCCACCACCCCACTCCTCAGTGTTCTCCAGGGGGAGGCTGCTGTGCTCAGCTTGCTGCCTTAGATCTCCAGCTGAGGAAAGACTCCTCTGCAGAGCATTGCCTCTGCCTTGGCCATAGTCTGTCACCATCCATTCCTTAGAGGAAAAGGGCAGGCATGCATGAAGAGCAAAGCAGCAGGCAGCCACAAAGGATAGGCCTGACAGCAGCTTTTATGACCCCAGCCTGCTGCTAAGGGGCAGTGATCATAGCAAATCCAACAGACTCAGGAGAAAAACCACGGTGACGTCATCAGCATAAAGGATCAAGTAGAAACTGAATGAGTAGGACATTGGGCATGAAATCACCCATGCTTTCTAGTTCTGGGTTTTCCTTACTGACTTCTTATTCTGGAACACAGCCCCTTATTCCACCTGCTGGTATAGGATAGTAAGAGGGAACAGGTACCTCTCAGGGGTCAGAGGTAAGGGTCTTCTTTAAGAATCCACTTTTTCCACCCCTGGGTGAGAGGTGAGAGGTGAGAGGTGAGAGGAATGCATTCCGGGGTCTAGGGCAGATTCTTATGTTCTGAATTAGATTTCTTGGGCCTGGGCCACTGGCAGTGATCCAATAGAATTCAGACCATCTGATTCCATGTGTCACAATGTATTCAATCTGTTCCGGGTTTTTATGAATTCATATTGTTTTTTTTTTTAAATTCTGGGTAGTTCTAGATGGTTCAGCATTGTGGTCTTCTGAGGGAAGAATTTTCCTGCTAATAATTTATGGCTATTTTGTGGGAAAATTATCACCTGTCCCTTAAGTTTGTGGAATGAGACTCAGACCTTGAAGACAGATGGTTCTCTGTATTGAGAGTATAGATTCCTGGATGAATCCTGGCCCCAGACTCAGCAAGGGGACAGGAATGCCTCACCTTGGAAAGCTTGTGTGGTCTTCCTTTGGCCCTGTCAAGTCGGGGAGGAGAGGGAGAGAGGAGTTTCCTTGCTGAGGTATCTCTCTTCTGTGACTGAAGAATGCGGGCCCCTAACATGTAGCCTTGGGGTAACGCCACTGGTGGTGGTTGCTAGAGGAGAGTTTGTCTTCAATAACAGTTGTGTGGAAGGCATCCCTAGAGTCTCTAGAGGTGGCTCGTGAAAGTCTGAGGACAGAGACAACTCAGTGTTTCCTTGGCCTGTGAGCTGAGAACCTGCTTGAAATTCTGGGGGACTTTGTAGGAGTCTGTCTTGGAGGGGAGTTCTGCCCTGGGAAAACATCACCATGGTAAAGTCCCTCCCATCCCCTCCCTCTTCCTAACCCCTGCCTTTTCCTTCCTCTTCCTCTTTGCCCTCCCTCTTCCCCCTCCCCCACAGTAATGAGACTTGAACTCTGGGACTCATTCGCTCACTCAGCTTTTTTTTTTTTTTTACTCACAGCTGGCATTCTATTTCTACTTCTGGTTTATGGCTGGTTAATTGGTGATAAGGGTCACACATGGTTTTGGACCATGATCCTCAGATCTCAGCCTCTTGAGTAGCTTTAGATTCCTGCATGAGCTCCTTCCCTTCTCAGAGCTAAATTTCTATTTGCAATCAGGCAAGACTCCCCAACCCACCCCGCCCCCACCCTGGTTTCTTTGTTTATTTATTTGGTTTGGAAAGGAAATAAGCTGCTTAATGAAAACTTGCTTATCCTTACCAATTAATTAATCCTGTGTCAATACCACATGTTGCACCAACTTACACTATAATTACATCCCTACCTATCTAGAAGAATTAATTCAATGCTTGTGAAATGCTCTGAACCTTACTGTGGGCGCAAGGGCCTGTGGGAAATGGAAGAATTTTAGCATGACTTGCTAGTCTATGTGTCCCTGACCAGGGCTCATAAATGCCAAGAATTCTTTCTTTCTCTGGAGGAGGAGCTGCTTTAGGGAGTAGTACTCTTGCTTTGGCGTCTCTCAGTTTGTGACTGAAGAATATGGGCCCCAGGGCCCACTCTTAACAATATCATTGGTTACCATTGATTCAGCAGAGTTTGTCTCCAATCATAGTTGACTGGGGACAGAAAATGCCAAGTAGCCAACCCTTGTGGGCTTCCACTGTCCTATTGCATGATGGCTCATTGCCCTGTGTATTAGTAGTGAGCCCTGCTGCGCCAAGGGTGGCGGTCACTCAGATGTTGGCCCTGGGCTCAGAGGAGCCATTGTAGAACCCCCCCTTCTGACACAGCCTGCTTTTTTTCTCCCTCTCTCTTCACAGCGGGGCCTTTTCTGAAGTGGTTTTAGCTGAAGAGAAAGCAACTGGAAAGCTCTTCGCGGTGAAGTGCATCCCCAAGAAGGCGCTGAAGGGCAAAGAGAGCAGTATAGAGAACGAGATCGCCGTGCTGAGAAAGTAAGTGCATGGAGAGGGCGCCTCCCTCCCCTGGCTGCCTGCATGGGCATCCTGCAGGGCAGGACCAGTGCTACCCCCCCCCCCCCCCCCCCGCCCCAGGCCAGGGCCCCAGGGCTCTCATCCATGGAGTACTTGCAAGACTTTTTCTTTACACCTGCTATGTCTTCAAGCATTGACTCTCAGGGTGTTCGCCATGTGTTCATGAAGTGCTCCCAGCTGCGTGGCTGCACTTGAAGTACACAGTAAATGCTGCCACCGCTACTGTGAGCACTACCACTGTCATTGTCATTGCTTTCTTGTATCATGAGATGGAGCCACCAAGAGCGTCCATATCCAGAGTGCCCCCCTTTGCAGCTCTTAGGTGGCAGAGCCCCAAAGGCTCACCTTTCTGGTATGGGTTCTCTACCTTGTGATGGCTTTTATTTTTTTCTATTCTCTGCCACAGCCATGAGCCTAGGCACCTGCACATTTCCATGGCTGTATTAGTGTTCCACCTCTTGGTATCTCTCTGTCTCTGTCTCTGTCTCTGTCTCTGTCTCTCTCTCTCTCTCACGCACACACACACACACACACACACACACACACTCGTGTTTCTTCCCCATGTACATATACTAGAGCCAAATAAAAATCTCATTCCCTCCAGAATATATATATATATGTGCATGTGTGTGTACATTATGTATATGTAAATATATACATAATGTATATTTACATTATGTATATATATACATATGTATATACATATATACATATGTATATACATATACATAATGTATATGTATATTACACGTGTATGTGTATGTCTGTGTGGGTATGTACACACACACACACAATCGTTGCTGGGCTGGATCCACCTCAGGATGATCTTGATGTGTTGGATCCAGCCCTACCTCCGCTGCACGATCAGGATTAGTCCTTTCAGAATGTGTAGGGGAAACAACCCTTATATGGTACCTACTTTTACATGTTTGGCATGTGCTTCAAAAATGTGCTCTGGAAATTTTTGAGTTGCTATTAATAAAAGGTGTTCAAAATATCCTTGAAAGGTGGGAGATTTGGAATGAAAGCATAGCAAGAACCTCGGTACAGACAGACAAAGCAGAATGGGAGCAAGCTTGTTGGGACCTCGCAACAAGATGTCAAGATCCCCACATTCTTCTTGCCATAAGCCACTCCTCATTTCTTTCGGCGATAAGGAGAACCCCACTGAAGGATGCTGACCAAATCCCTTGTGTCGGAGGTGGAGAGGATGGTTTATCCTGTTCTGGTCTGTGGGAGACTTGAAGACAAACCAGCAGCCTTTTGTGCTGTGTGCTCCATAATGAACAAATCTTAGGAGCTTTTTGGTGTAGGATTTTCGCTTATTTGGTTGGTTGGTTGCTTGGTTTTTAGTTTCTCTGAGTCATCTATTAGGAATCCAGAGTCTTAGATTGTCCTGAGGAGGATTGTAGGAAATGAGCGTATGGAAGAGGGTCTGAGAAAACAGATTAAGAACATTAGCATCAAGCAGGGAAACACCATATGAATGAAACATTTATTTAACTTGCTCATTTTCCAATATGAAATCCATGCTCCAAGAAGTTATACACTGGTGACATGAAGTTGCAGATGCACTACAGCTATTTGACAGTGGAGATAGGATTCTGGCTGCTCCCAGAGTCTTCCAAAGGCTCAGCTTTAACAGGGGTTGTCTGCTGCTGAACTCCAGGTGTCAGCTTTATTCTTCCATGACTCCCTTAGAAGCCAAGAGCTGAGGAAATCCATTTCTCTTCTTAGTGCCGTTCTGCACCCTCAGGGGCCAGGGGCATGGATATAGACTTTATAAGTTGATGTTGGTTTATACTCGACTCCTTCTGCTTCTATTACTGTCTCTACCTGGTGCATTACTCAGGACATGTCCTGGGATGGGGCATGGAGAGTTGGGAATTTGGAATAACTTGTTTTCATTGTTTGTTTGGAATGCCTTGAAGCATGACTCCTCTTTCTGGAGTAAGGAACAAAGAGATGGTTTCTCAGGGGATAAGAAGTGATGTATTTCCTATACTGATTTCATTTTTGGATCTTCTACAAATGATTGCATGCCCTGAACAGCTGACATAAAAGTGTAGTATCCATGAGGGATGCAGTGTGGAAACATTCTTCAAAGGAAGCCTTTGATAGGGCTGGGAATGTGGCTTAGTGGTAGAGTGCTTGCCTGGCATACACACAGCCCTGGGTTCAATTCCTCAGTTCCGCATACATAGAAAAAGCCATAAATGGAGCCATGGCTCAAGTGGTAGAGCATTAGTCTTGAGCAAAAGCAGATTAGGGACAGCCCTAGAACTGGGGGAGCAAGGAAGGAAGACCTTCACTCCCGTATCAAACATTTACAAATCCCCACCATGCTTCAAGCTCTGTGTGACTAGCTATTAAGTTTAAGATGCAATTCTTGCTTTCTGGGAGACCTCCACTTTGTTACTAATCAGTACAATAAAGTTGTTGATGTGATAGAAGCTTGTCCCAGGAGTTCAAGGGCTGGGATGCTTAGATCTCTCAGCTGGGTGGGATGGAGGAAGGGGGTCAGCATTATGGGTCTACACACTGACAGAGAGGCAGTTAGAAGGTGGAGGCAGGGTTCTTTGGGGAACAAGGTCCAAGGTGAAGCAAAGGGAGACTAATTTAAGAGGAAGGATTGTGGAGGCCCTTGTAGACTCAGCTTGGGACCCTGAGCTTCACTGTGTCAACATCCACCAATGGGCTTTCATGATAGGAGCAATTTGATCAGCATGTTCACGGTTGATTGTGTAATCTGGATGAATAAATTGGAGGGGGCTGGCAGGACTTGTTACATGGCAGAACAGAGTTTGGTGATTGTGGGGTGAAGCATCAGCAATTCAGACAGGGGCCATGGAACTAGAATAGAGGGGCAGAGAGGGTGGAAGCAAGGTGTTGCCGTGGGAAGCTGGTACAGGGGGAGATGGGATTCTAGGACAGACCTGGGTTCTCTGATGTGAGTGACAGTATAAACAAAGAGTCAAGTGAGATCAGAAATCCAAACTCCCTGGAGCAGTGGGGGACAGGTGGTGAGGTCTGGTTTGGAAATGGTGCATGTGGGGGTCTTGAAAATGTCCAAATGAGGGAGTCCAGTTGACTTTCCAAGGCTACAACTCACCTGATGTCTGAGCCTGGTAGATGCTAAACTTTTGTGAAATGACATATTTAAAATAATCTTTTGGTACTCTAGACAGACTGGCAGACCCCTAGCTGAGGTTCCTGCTAGGCCTGCTTTATTCTGCTTTCTGTTTGTCCCTTCATCACTTGTGCAGTTCCACACTGTTTTGCATCCATGTAGACCCAGTTGAGAGGCTGCTGGCTCTCCTACATGCTCGGCTTATTGCAGGGTGAGAGATTTATTTCATTGGATAAAAGTAATATAGCTAATATGTCCTTGTGGAAATCTGCATACTTAGCTCTGAAAATAGTTCTCAAATGAATTTTCTACTTGATAAGTAGATATTAAACCAAGCTCAGAGAAGGGAGAGACCCTGACAGATATCATTATATCTGGCAGAAAGGGGTGGGGTAGGGGAGGGAGCAAAAGGGAGGGGAGAGATGGGAGACACTGGTGGCCTCACTTGAGCGTTCAGTACGTTGCATCTCTATGATTCATCACGAGCTGTTCCAGACAGAATAGCTAGCTGCAGTCCCGCAGTGGAGGGTGTTACGCAGTGTGGAATATAGCATCATTGATTTAATACACCTTGGCTGGATTATACTGGATGGGTTCTGTGGTTATTATTTACTTAGAGGGCAAGCACTGCTCAAATCTAATTTCGAAGCAACACATAAAGCCCTTTTGCAGGGGTGGAAAGGCAAACAGTCTGCATTTAAATGAGAGGTGAAAGCAGAGGGAGATTCATAACACTGGAAAACAGGGACGAGGAGAAGCAAAACAGATGGATCTAGGAGCGGCTCTTGGACTCATGGTTGGGGAAGCCGAGGCTCGGGTTGGCAGAAGAGCTACTACACGAATGAAAAATGGTACCAGACCAGAACTTATCTGGCCCTTGTCTCAGTTGCTTGGTAGTGTACAGAGGCCATCTTGCTGAGAAGCGTTTTTTTTTTTTTTAATTCTTTTTTTTTAATTGTGAAAATACTGTTCAGAGGGGTTATAATTACATGGACATTTCTTATCAAGCATTGTAGCCTCCTCCTTTGTTTACCCTTCCCATCCCACCTAACCCTCCTCCCCCCCCCAACAAAATTGTAAAGTTTGTTTTCAACATATTGACTTGTACGTCTCATTGTTGCAATGGGTCCACCTGTATCCCTATTTAAATGATTTGTTTTTTTCCCTCACCCTCCACAAATTATAACAACATCAAATACAGTGAAAGCAGAGGTTATACCGTGGGGGAGGTCATACAAAGCAGCAAAGAAATAATCTTATAAATGTGTTAGAAACAATCGCATGAAAGGAAAAAAACATTTGAATACATATCTTAGAGTTCATTTCCCTAACATCAACTTATCTGACCTTTTCTGCTTGACTCAGACATATACTAGTTATTGCAAATAAGGGAAACCATGGGACCTATGTTTCTTTGGGCCTGGCTTACTTTACTTAATATAATTTTTTCCAAGTCTTTCCATTTCCTAACAAATGGGGCAATGTCATTCTTTCTGATGGAGGCATAGAATTCCATTGTGTATATATACCACATTTTCTTGATAGCCATACAACAGACAAGGGTCTCATATCTAAAATATACCTGGAACTCAAAAAATTAAATCCTCCAACAACAAATCCTCAAAGAAACAACTGCCCAATAAACAAGTGGGCTAAAGACTTAACGAGAAACTGAAGAGGAAAGAAGGATGGCCAATAGACACATGAAGAAATGCTCAACCTCCCTAGCCATAAAAGAAATGCAAATCAAAACAACATTGAAATACCACCTCACCCCAGTTAGAATGGCTAGAATCAAAAACTCTAATAACAACAGATGCTGGAGGGGATG